CCACATTTAGAATCAACGTCATGCGTTCAAAGTATTTGGCTGCTCGAAATTTCCGCACGATAAGCCACTTCGCCGAGCTATGATTTGTGGCCAGGTCGCTTCTGAAAAAGAGCTACATAGCTCAGTGGGCCTTACCTGGTAAAATAAAAAATGGTTTGATAGTTTAGTTTACCATCGTGGTGTCGCCACATCGCCGAGACCGTAATACGGTGGGGGGGGGGGGGAGAAATAGCAGACCCGGAGTATCGCACCCCACTAATCTAGGGCATCGTCATTAAAAACGATCAATGGGAAAGTAAGTCCTCGTTGAACACGTGCCGGTGTACACACACCGTTATAAAACGCAGAACGCTCGCACCATTATAAACGCGATTTCTGAGCGGTCGATGACCAACTACTTTCTTGATACAGTAGCGCGTAATGATACAGTAACCCGTAATGATACAGTAACGCGGTGGCGTACCCTCAGCCACTTGTCCCGCCATCTCACGGTGCGTAGCAGTGGTACGTCGCGCCTCGCCACGCTTTACCTTCACTGCATTATTGACGCGCAAATTGTTTCCCGCTTAACGCGGCACTTTTCAGGAACGCATCCCACTACCGCCACCGCGCTGAACGCGGGGAATTGCCGCAGAAGAAACGACAGGGGGGGGGGGGGGCTTCGAAAAAAGGTAGGCGGCGAAAAGTTGGGCTCCAGATAAATATTAGCGAAGAAGAAGAAAAAAAAAAGTCGAGCACAACAAACTCGCGCAACAATTGCCGAGATCGTTCGGGAGGGACTGGGAAGCCACGGCGGAGCACGCGTACTCGGTGCGGTTGTTGAAAGGAGATTTTGGGACCAAAAAAATGATGGACACACAGGAGGGAGGTAGGTGGACGAGAGCGGGGGAGTGCTTCCTGGGAAGCTGAACGTGACGATGATAAATAAAAGACCATGGTGCGGAAAGAAGACCGTTTTAGTGTTCTTTTATGGATCAGAAACATGAAAGCAACCGAAAGAGAATAGAATAAAAGTTGAAAAGTGTGTAAAAGAAGCATAGAGAGAGAGGGGGGGGGGTGCACGCATAGAACTTGACTTAAGACACCTCCGATTAGCACGGTTGAATATGCACGGTGCAAAAGGTCAACATACATATGTACACACATTAAGCAGGAAGAGAAACACACGGATTTGAGAGCGTACCCTGGGGCGAGGCATGTGTCGACTCAAGAAGAGTATCAAGTGGGATATGGGCAGGAAAGTTCGCTCCGACGATGGCCGAGCCAAGAGGAGGGAAACGCGACCAAGGCAGCGTCCAACGTGGAGATGGAGCTACGAAATAAGCTCGTGGACTGGAGCCAGCTGGAGCGTTGCCATCGCAACGCCCGCGAGCGATGGCAACGGCTTGGGGGGGGGGGAGGCGAACAGATCGCGAGTGCAAATTCACCTGCGTGCCTGGTGAACGTGAGTGACACACCCCCCCCCCCCCACCTTAGAGCCAGCGGTCCAAGGCGCAGGGAGAGTGTGGCACTCAAGTTGAGCCAGGCTAGTGGTTGTGGTTGGATTGGTGATCGCCAATGCTGCGTCCAGACGGTAGTTTTCAGAGTCAGCCCCCACACCTCGGATTCATGCTGTGTTCTCTCCCACACGAAGCCAACCCACTTATTCATGGAATTGCCAAACATCCCAATGGAGCAAGGGACCCTCCTGTACGTTGGTACTTCTTTTCGCACCGTACGTAGCCAACCGTGCTGGTCGGAGTTGCGGGGGGGGGGGTCAACAAGCTAAACACACAGAGCAGTTCTCCTGTGAAGAAGCTTTGAGACTCGGAAAAGCTTCCCTGTATCATTGGCACAATGGACCAAACTGGCCTCGCTTGTCGCCGAGAAGATAAACTAAAAACTACCGGAGCTGTATAGCTCGATCAGAAGCGACCTGCCCATCATAAAATGACAACTCAATGCATTGACATATAAAATTGAAATGTATAGCAGCCAAATACTCTAAATGCACGTTTCTAAAATGTTGAAGGAAAAAAGCGAAGGTCCCGGAGAAAAATCCACACGACCACGAGGAGAGAGACAAGCAAACTCCAAATAAATATACAGCAGGCATCAGGGTCGAGATCAAACCCACGACCGCCGTGTACCAGGCGAGGAAGTTAACATCTCGGCCACCATGGCCATGGTGCCAGACACGCAACTCTCTCGACTTCCCCCAAGGTCTCCAAGACCAGGCCCAAAACTGCACTGCCAGGTTTATGCGCATCACACATTCTCCCTCCACGACGGAACTCTCCTGGATCTAACCTACAATCCAGACCTGGTCCAGACTAGGTCTGGATCAGGTGTGGACCACACGATGATGAGCCACTTTGTTGAGCTATCATTTGCGATATCCAGGTCGCTTCTGAAAAAGAACATACATGGCTCAGTGGGCCTTACCTGGCAAAATACTAAATAGTTTAATTTCGGTCTCAACAAGCCCCAGGTCTGTATGTACTCGAATTGTAAATGTTGTGGGTTTGCTCTCCAACACACCGGTGTGCTGAACAAGTAACAAATTCAATCTTGATTTGAAGCTTTCGTGACTGGTTTAAAATAATTTTATTTTAATTTTATTTTATACCTACGTGACTTTACCCAAAGAACCAAATACTATAGTAACAAATTGGCATGTTTTGTTTACTGACAAAATCTTACTAATTGGCTGTGTCGGGTGGTGGCAGGTTTAACGACATATTTATATTCATGCCATCTAACCCAAAAAAGCTTGATTATGGATATTGGTCGCGAAAGCCTACTACTGTGTGTTAAACTGTCTGTACGTACGTTCAACTTATTTCACACCGCACATAGCCAACCGTGCTAAATCAGAGGTCTACTAAAGAGGGAACCGGAAAATTGGAGAGAAGCAAACCAGAGACCAGGAAGCAAGGGACCAAACAGCAGGGGTCCATGGAAACAGACCCAAGAACACGGACTTAAATATGCAGGGCCACGTATGACAAAGTACAACGACAGCCAATGTCCTAGGGAACCAGGGCCAGGAACTAGGGAATGTTGCACCGGTTGTAGTCGTGACCAGACTTGAAAGGCCAGCGACTCGGTACCAAGATCGGAGACGGACGTACATTGAACTTCTTTCACACCGTCACGGAGCCAATCGCGCTTAATCGGAGGAGCCACAGATCCAAACCCCAGTCTCGGGTCTCTTACAACCGCGGAACCAGCCCAAGCCCAGGTGACGAGGGAAACTGGCGGCTACAGCTCGGAACGTGGAAACCGGAAAAGGGGCTCAACACCGCCACCAATAAAGACGAGCGTAGTTAAAGCTTGAGACCAGACCGTGTCACCGTACACGTGACAACGAACCTGGTTAAAAGCAAGGACTCAAGTTCCACAGGTCCAGGGGCCTGTGGAATCAAGAGCCCAAGACCAATAGCTGGTCCCAGATGACAGCACGAGACTCGGGGAAACGAGGCGGGAGCAAGACTTTAGTTGGATCAGGCGCGATGGGTTGAGGATGGGTTGACGATGACTCGAGGCCCTGGGGTCCCTGGGTTGCCCCGGGTTGCCCCGGGTTTCGCGAGTCCCACCAGGGGGGGGGGGGGGGGGGGGGGGGCGGTGAGGGAGGCGGTGAGGGGGGAAAGTGTCACAGGGAAAAGATGAAGGGCCTCAAACTTGGGGCCTTGTTATTTACAGTGCAGTCCTCGCCTCAGCAGCAGCAACAACCACCACCACCCCCACAATAACCATGACCACAGCAGCAGCAACCACCACCACAGTAACCACCATCACCAGAGCTGCAACCACCACCACAGTAACCACCACCACAGTAACCACCATCACCAGAGCTGCAACCACCACCACAGTAACCACCACCACAGTAACCACCATCACCAGAGCTGCAACCACCACCACAATAACCATCACCAGAGCTGCAACCACCACCACAATTACCACCACCACAATAACCACCACCACAATAACCACCACAATAACCACCACCAGAGCTGCAACCACCACAATAACCACAATAACCACCATCACCAGAGCTGCAACCACCACCACAATAACCACCACAGTAACCACTACCACCAGAGCTGCAACCACCACCACAATAACCACCACCACAATAACCACCACCACAATAACCACCACCAGAGCTGCAACCACCACCACAATTACCACCACCACATAAGCCACCACCACAGCAGCTGAAACCACCACAATAACCACCACCACAATAACCACTACCGCCAAATCAGCTGCAACCACCACCACAATAACCACCACAACAGCTGCAACCAACACCACAACCACCACCACAACAGCTGCAACCAACACCACCACAACCAACACCACCACAACCACCACCACCACCACAACACCTGCAACCAACACCACCACAACCACCACCACAACAACCACCACACAAAGGCGGCGAGAGACCAAATTAAAACCTCCTCATCGCACTCGTCCCGCTCCTCGTCGACCCCGACCCCAGGCCCCAATCTTTGGGACCCAAGGAGACCCCCCTCCCCCTGCTCCTCCTCCCACCCCCTAGGCCCTATCACACGGCTCGAGGCTCCGCTCACCTCGTCCACCTCGTCCACCTCATTCCACCTCCCTCATCAAGGCTCCTCCTCCTCCACTCGTCGCTAAACACTCCCCGCGGGCCCGAACCCTTCAAAAAAAAACTCCTAAAATCCTTGGGTCAACAAAAGGTTCAGCCGGTCAGGAGGTGTCCCCTCCTCCTCCTCCTCCTTACCCCGTCATGCCTCTCCACCTCCTCCCTCCACCTCGTCCACCTCGTCCACCACCTCTACTCCTACAGCAACCTCAACAACACAGCAGTCTCTGGGCCCAGAGAGGCGGCGAGCGCCGCCTCCCTCTCCTCTCTCTCCTCTCTCTCTCGATGGCTTTTACAAAACAACAACAAAAAAAGAGGGGGAGAGAGAGGGGGGGGGGCGGTCAGTCGGTCAACGTCAACATCCCCCACACACGCATCTCCTCACCTCGTCCACCACCTCTTTCTGCTTCTGCTGCTGCTGCTGCTTTCACCTCGTCTCCTGCTGCCCTGCCTGCTTGCCTGCTGCCAGAATATGGAGTTTTTTTATGCGCATGGGGGAGGGGGGCGGGGTGAGGGAGAAGGGGGCGGGGCTATGGGGGTGGGGTCCCAAACTGCACCGCGCGCGACTGAGAGGGGGTGGTGGTGGCGGTGTTGGTGGCGGAGGTATGCCTTGCGATGACGTCATGTCACCTTTTGTTTTAATGGCTCGGGCGGTGGCGTGAGCGTGATGTCATCGTTGTCGTCGATGGCCCGGCGGTTGCCGTCACCGTTGGGATTTCGGTTAGGGGTTTTTTGTTGTTGCGGTGACGTCAAAAAAGCGTAATCGGTCGCGGTGCCGTGATGTCATGGTTGTCGATGGTTTGCGGTGACGTCATGTGTTTGAGTGATCAGTTTACATTTTGATTTGAAGCTTTCGTGACTGCAGGGATTCATATTCTTGGTTCTTTCGGTAAAATCACGTAGAAGGGAAACAAAAAAAGTAATAAAAATATAAAACAATAAAATTATCACTACGTTTCGACTGCAACACAAGCAATCATCATCAGGTGTGAAAACCACAGCAAGAAAATTTGAAAAAAGTGGCGTTTTTTTAACGTTAGCACTACGGAGAGCGATTTGGCAGTTTGTTCAGATGGACGAGTCCATCTATGTTCGGAAAAGAGGAGGGGGGAGACGAAAATAATGGATGCGGTCTGAAAGCCACCGTAAGCGTGAACAATAAATTAAGACCCGAAATGGTTGATCAAATCCTTCCAATGATTGCTAAGCCAGAATCCGTCTTCTCGGTTGAAGTTGCCTATTTTTTCTAATTTTCTTGCTGTGGTTTTCACACCTGATAATGATTGCGTGTGTTGCAGTCGAAACGTCGTGAGAATTTTATTGTTATATATTTTTATTATTTTATTGTTTCCCATCAACGTGACTTTACCGAAAGAACCAAGAATATGAATCCCTGCAGTCACGAAAGCTTTAAATAAAAATGTAATGCAAATACAGTAAAACCTTGGATTGCGAGTAACTAGGTCTGCGAGTGTTTTGCAAGACGAGCAATTTTTTTTAAATAAATATTAATTTGATAAACGAGCGAGGTCTTGCAATACGAGTAGTACGTTTACGCTTTGTCTGCCGAGCGTCACGTGATCACAACTGATATACGAGTGCTTTGATATACGAGTGCTTTGGATTACAAACACATTTCCGGAACGAATTATGTTCGCAATCCAAGGTATTACTGTATTATAAGAATATATTTTTTGTTTGCATTCTGACCACAAGCATTGTGGTTAATGCAGACATGATTCCTTGTAAAAAGGTTTCAGTTTGGTGGTTTAACATCTAGATTTGAAGTTTTCGTGATAGCAAGGATCCATACTCTTTGGTTCTTTCTGTAAAAATAAAATTAAATTAAACAAAAATGAAAACAACTAAATTAAATCACGACGTTTCGGAGGCAGCACAAGCTTCCTTCATCAGGTGTAAAAAAGCACAGCAAAATGACTGTGGACCATGCTTTCCCACCTGATGATGGACGCTAGTGTTGCGCCCGAAACGTCGTGATTCATTTTATTTTCTACCTACGTGACTTCACCGAAAGAATCAAAGAGTATGGATTCCTGCAGTCACGAAAGCTTCAAATCAAGATTATTCTCATTGTGTATTGTTTTGACGTGCTAACGCTGTGCCCCCTACTGGACATCTGTGAACAAGACCGTCTTAGCTCATCGGATTCCTCCAGAATAAATAAAGATTCAAACAATCGTAGAGAAAAACAAGTACAATTTGCGTAAGTAAAAGCTAAACTAAACTTTTTATTTTACCCGGTAAGGCCCCACTGAGCTGCTGCACAGCTCTTTATCAGAAGCAACCTGCGTATCACAAATGATAGCTTTACGAAGTGGTTCATCATCATCACGTGGAAATGGATAGCATCGGCCAATTATTCTGAACGCGTGTTCCCACAGAGACCCACAGAGACCCACAGAAATTCACACTCACAGAGACCCATAGAAATCCACACTCACAGGCACCCATACAGACCCACATAGATCCATACTCAGACACCCATAGAGACAGAAATCCACACTCATAGAGACCCATACAGACCCATAGACACAGAAATCCCCACTAATAGAGACCCATACAGACCCACAGAGATCCATACTCAGAGATCCGATAGAGACCCACAGAAATCCACACTCATAGAGACCCACTACAGACCCACAGAGTTCCATACTCATAGAGACCCACAGAAATGCACACTCACAGAGACCCATACAGACCCACATAGATCCATACAGACACCCATAGAGATACAGTACACAGAAATCCTCACTCATAGAGACCCATACAGACCCAGAGATCCATACTCAGAGACCCGATAGACACCTAGAGAAATCCACACTCATAGATACCCATACAGACCCACATAGATCTATACTCAGAGACCCACAGACACTCACAGAAATCCTCACTCATAGAGACCCATACAGACCCACAGAGATCCATACTCAGACACCCCTAGAGATACAATACACAGAAATCAACACTCATAGAGGCCCATACAGACCCACAGAGATCTATACTCAGAGACCCACAGACACTCACAGAAGTCCCCACTCATAGAGACTCATACAGCCCCAGAGATCCATACTCAGAGACCCGATAGAAACCCACAGAAATCCACACTCATAGAGACCCATACAGACCCACAGAGATCTACACTCAGAGACCCACAGACACTCACAGAAATCCTCACTCATAGAGACCCATACAGACCCACAGAGATCCATACTCAGACACCCATAGAGATACAGTACACATAAATCAACACTCATAGAGACCCATACAGACCCACAGAGATCTATACTCAGAGCCCCATAGACACTCACAGAAATCCTCTCATAGAGACCCATACAGACCCACAGAGATCCATACTCAGAGACCCGATAGAGACCCACAGAAATCCACACTCACAGAGACCCATACAGACCCACAGAGTTCCATACTTATAGAGACCCACAGAAATCCACACGCACGAAGACCCATACAGACCCACATAGATCCATACTTATAGAGGCCCACAGAAATCCACTGATAGAGACCCGTGTGAAAACTTAACTTTTTTATTTGACCAAATAAGGCCCACTGATCTACTATATAGCTATTTTTCAGAAGCGACCTGGCCATCACAAATGATAGCTCAACGAAGTTGAACAATCGCCAACGAAGTTGAGCTATCATTTGCAGCCACATGCTTATACATTCCTGGTCATTGTTCAACACTACATGTGTAGTGGCCTTATTGACGTCGGAGACTGTTCACTTGAGGCAACACGTATTTATTACAGACGCTTCAATTACAGCGGCGAATCTGATACTTGAAGAGGTAACAGCCTCTTCACCCGTACTCTGTAGAGGGAACGTTCACCGAGCTTTAGCCCACGCTAGCTCCCTGGTTCCCTCTATCCTGGTCCTCTCTCAGGAGGCTATCTGACCTGGCCCAGCTTCGGCGCAGGTCCCGATCACCAGCCCCACGAGTCCGGCCCTCGGAAGGACAGCGGCCCTCACGGCTCTGGGTCACACCCTGGCTTGCTTTGCCCGGCCCTCAAAAGGACAGCGGGCCAAAGGAGTTCCAGGGTCTGGCTAGTCGATCTTCGTCCTTCACTGGCTCTTCATTTTGCTTGAGTCGAACTGCCTCTCAGCTCCCCGGGTCCCACCTTTTATACTGTCCCTCACTGAGTGGTGGGGCTGGGAGGGATCACAGCGTCCCCCACAGCCCCCCAGGGTGGTGGCCGTAGCGGACGTGGTTGTGGCCACCGCCCTACAACCGCGTGTCACCCTCCCGTAACACCTCTGCACATGCAACTAAATTTGATGATAAATTATTTGATGTGCTTCTGCTGCGTTGGCAGCGGTGCATAAGCACAAATTAACAAACAAAAAACTCCTCACATTAAATTATTTTATTTTAGTTGTAATGAGTATTTTTTTTATTTAAAGGTTTGTTTGTGACTCAATATATATGCATAGGTAAATATTAATATGCCAAATATAATTCTTATCAGGCCTCAATGGTCTAAAGTGCAGCTTCCAACTCTTTAAAAACCACACTGTCATCTATCTAACCTCTATATTTATGAGCGATGAAGGGCCATTGCCCGAAACGTCATCGCAGGCCAGACAGAATCAGAATATTTATTTATACAGGAGATATCCAATGAGCTATAAACCTCTTTCCCACAGACGTCCAGTAGGGGTACGGGTCATAACGTTACAATAAATACAAAAAAAAACAAAAACAGTGGGACGTATAGTAAAGGTATACAAATCACTTTAAAAAGATACAAATAAAACTAAACTATTCTGATCTAACCAGATGAAGCCAACTGAGGTATTAACTTATTTTTCAGAAGCGACCTGGCCACAAACGATAGCTCAAGAAAGTGGCTTATCACGTGGACATTAATACTGCAGGAATCAGATAAGCTATGAAGCTCTTTTTCACAGATGTCCAGTCGGGGAGGGTAAGAATGTTACAACGACAAACATTACAACACTACAGGACTGCCACGTGCAAGATAGCTCAACAAATCACCCAAATCCATGATAATGTTTTTTGGGTTAGATCGTGTAAATATATCGTTAAACCCGCCACCACCCGACACAGCCAATTTACTATGAGCCAAGAATGTCTGTGTGTCCCGTGCGAGACGTCACTCCACATCGGCCAGCCCCCCTCATTAATACTCATGAACAGGTGACGTCATCCACATGGACCCCCCCCCCCCGCTCATTAATAATCATGAGCGGGTGATGGCACTCCACATTTAGCACCCCCCTCATTAATGAGCAGATGACGTCACTCCACATCGGAACAGCCCCCACATTAATAATTATGAAGAGGTGACGTCTTCCAGCGCATGACGTCACTCCACATGGGGGGGGGGGGGGGGAGGCTCCTCCTCCCCCCTCCTCAGCGTCAACTTACAACCCTCACTACAAAGGCAGAACCCTCATCACGTCACGTGATCTCCGTAA